ATTTGAAATATTTGCTTCAATTAAATTTATCGCAAACATGATGTAGCAATCACAAGCTATTCCACAGGCAAATAGCCCTGAAGCAGAAGTTACCAATTCTCCTCTGAATGCAGTGTGAAAAGATCTTTGCCACCTGAACGCTTTTCCATTAGAATGTGCTAGGTCTTCAAGGTTGGATAACCACAGAAATAGCTTGCAATATGCAAGTATACATCTTCTCTTTCTCTGTGTGCAATAGGATGTCACACACAGTCTTTGTATGCCACATTCTGGCCTGAACCCTATCTGGTAGGGAGATAGGACCTTGAGATAAGGCCTTGTTCACTGACTTTGAAACCATTTTGCTTAAGAAAGAAAAAGTACGGCACAGATGGTAATTAGCTAGGTTCATATATCTCATGGAGAGCTTCCTGCATATGGAATACCTGGAAAAAATCCCATTCTGCCCACTGGAGCAGCACTAGCTTTCTCTGTATAGCTGAAGTTGACAGTGCTTTTACCAGTATTTCAGAATGCCCACAGTTCCAAGGCTGCAGATTTGAAGACCAGGTTTCAATGTTGTTAAATATCTGAACATGAGAAAAAGGAGAAATGTTGCTATTCCTGCAATTAAATTACCTTTCTGGTTCTCTGTAGGGGTCCATCATGAAACCATATGTCCTTTCTTTCAAAGATTGGTTTTTGTTTAGGCTTTTTTTTAACACTATTCTTCAAAAATCTTGCTCAAGGTTCCCAAGGCATCACAAAGACAGTTGAAAAAAAAGGTAGCTGCTCGCAAGTTTTTTAAAAATTCTGATATCTGAAATTGAACTTGTCCAAGCACTGCTGTGGAACAGCATAAGGAATCACCCGGACTGAAAACTACTTCCCCCTTCCATAGATGTTTGGCATTAGGCATTCACATTACTTAATTTTTGTTTCAGGTACACTCTATTCTAGAAGAAAGACTTTTAGCTTATCAGGTACAGCAGTTCTCTAACAAGCCACAAAGACTTCATCAAATCTGAAGCTGTGGCATGGAGAAGTCAGAAGTATATGCAGGAAGAGTGCTGTACCATTTCAGCTCAGTTCTCTGTTTGGTGAAAATAGGGAACCATGCATAACAGGAGAGACAATTTATGTCTAATATATTCACTCAATCTAAACAGCAAGTTCTCAGCACTTAATGAGATTCTGGTCAGACTGGGACTTCTGCATCTTCAAGCACTTGAGGACAATGTAGGAACAAGCACAGAGGCAAAATAAATTAAAACCTACAGTTTCAGGGTAAAGCAATTCTGCAACTGTTAGAGATCATGATGAAACCTGTGTGAAGACATTATACCAGAAGGACTTACTGGTATATTCTTCAGTTGAATAGTCAATACATGCTGTTTTCAAAGATTCAAAAACATATAATCCTTGGATCTGAATCACACTGATAACTCCTCTTGCCATAACCCATGTATATACCATTATGGGCATTCTGTCCAGCTCCAAATTTCCCACTCTAAATTTCCCACTCTGTTATGGAATATTTTGGTTTCCCTCAGCCATTCAAAACCTAGACCTAGATTCAATGTATGCGTTCTACATCTCCATTTAACACCTTTATTCTAAATCAATTTTGGTATTACTTCTTCAGAAGTATATAGAATGTATGTTAAATGTATGACCAGCTCACTGGACTAAGTAGAGAAATAGGGCTTTTACATCAGAGAATCACAGATCTGGTTCATTACTGGACCTCTGTTTTGAAGTGAGGCAGTGACCACCCCCTAATTTTCAGCATACAGGTGTATATATATATATATATATATATTTGACAAACTATCACTGCTGCCCTTTTGAGTAGTTTTAACAAATACTACAAAGATTGAAATGTAAAGGAAATTGAAATGTCTGTGCTATTTGTCTCACTGTAACACTGGCCATGATCAGCACAGTGAAAAGCCATGAAACCTCACACTGCTATAACACACACAGAGAAATAAATCTATTTAGAAGTTTCCTGACTGACTTTTAGTATCTAGTGAACACATTTAAAAGGAGAAATGAAGCTTCCCATTACAAGTATAGGTGACTGCAGTCATGAGTCCTCCTCCAAAAGCAACTTCCTACCTACCACCCATCCACCTTAATCTGTACTGCTTTCTGCCATCTACTGTGTGTAATAAAGAAACTAAGATGATATGTTTCCCAAATTAAATCAGACTTTTGTAAAAATAACCATACTCTACACATAAGAAAAAAGCCTGTTAGAGGCATAATCCAATACTGCACAGTGTTGATGACTATCCTTTGGGTGTTTCAGTCATATAGACCGCATTTTAAAATATTTTAAACAGACAATATATTACAGAAAATAATGTTGAGCTATAACACTAGGAAACTGTTTTTAAAATAACAATATTTCAATTTGCTTCTTCTACCTCTAGCAGAAAAATTGGTAATGACTGAACAGTAACCGAAATACACAGCCAGAAGAAAAAAATACCAGGTGGTTCTTCTAAGTATTTACCTGATTTAGAGATAAGCTTCTACATTTGTACAGTGTATCCAGACACTATGTTAGGAGGGCCCAAATGTTATTTACACATACAAAACCACATAATAAGTGAACCATATAAAAGGAGTAGAAAGCTCTTATCAAAACCATCAGAAGAAGATATGGATCAAAATGAACCCAGAATAAAAGGAGAGCAAAGTACAGCAATATTAAGTGATACCTAGGAAAGCTCTCATGAGTTTTAAGGTTCATGTGTTATTCCAGTTTCCACAGGGGTCAACTTAGCTTTTTGTTTGTTTTCATCTCTCTCTCCCTATGTATATATTTTGTATACATGGTAATATTCCACCAATTGAAGCTTTTTTCAGATCAGTATTCTTTGCTCACTTGTGTCCTTTATGTAGTACTACTGTCAATATACTGAACAATCTTTCCTATATTTCATTATTCTATTAAATGTACATATTTTAACATTTTTCAAAGAATTATATAGAGAAGTAATTTATTAAAAGAAGTGATTCAAGTTCAAATAAGTACTTTTACAAATTTAGCATTCACATTGAAGGGAGGAATCTAGAAGTTCTCCATGCTTCTGAAGACTGATGCATCCTCCATACAAGAGATCACTGCTCCTTAGGGTTCAAAGTGTTAAAGATGGACAGTAGTTATTTTTTCTTCTCTGGGCTGTTTGTATACAGTCAGTGTTTTACAAGTGTATCTGCAACTCTTCTATTACATTATTGGTAACACACTACAAAATGCATGCATTATTTCTATAACCTGGGTAGCTCAATACTCTTAAATCTCTAACTTCATAGTTTTAAGACTGAATTTAAAAAATCCCAGGATAGATCAAATCCTTCTTATCTTGCTATCATTGACTTTGAGAGCTTACCCACTTGACAATAGTATTTTTGTATGTCTGTGAGACCAGCAGAAAGTCTTTCAAGATAACTACTGACAGGATAAATTTTTCTCTCTGATTTTGTTCACTGAGTTATTATTCAATATACCTGCCTTCCTTTAGATAAGTGCAAAGCTCCTAGCTGAGACACTCCCCCCACAAAGGACAAATATACTTACATGCATTTTGGTCTTCTGGTCAAATTTACATGTCATGGCTTTTAGAAGGAGATATGCTGCACCAGACATACCACCACCAAAACATATCACCACCACAACAAAAAAAATGTTGTTGTACATTCTTCAGCAGTTCAGATTTTACCATGGCAGCAAACAATAAAATAAACAATTAAACCAGTTACTCAAGTTCAACCCACAGTATTCAGCATTAACCATAAAACTAGCCAAATACCTAGTACAGTAATGATTGTTACCGTTCAAGAGACACTCTTGGCAAAATTTCAGAGCCCCAAGGACAAAAGTTACTCTGCTGATTTTTATTTATTTATAGAGTCAAAAATAAGCACAGAAATCGTAGAATCTGCAGTTATTTTTATTCTCCTCAGTAGGAGGATTTTGCTATAGTAGGAGGTAAATTGCTCTCTGTTTACATTGTCTGTAATAAAAGGCTGCAGTTGAGCAGTCTCGTCCACATGCTGCAATTACAAGGAGAGGGCTTTAACAGTCTGTGCTCTAAGACTCTGCAGGCCTCAGTTGGCCTTTTGGCCACAATTTGATTGCCCTTCACTTTTGTGAAACCATATATTACACATCTTCAAATCTTCAGAAGGGACAAAGTATAGGAAAATTATGTAATAATCAAGTGAATGCCCACAGACTTTGCAGATAATTAGTTTCTCCACACCACTATCTATAAGCCTAGAGACTAGAGGCTCTGATGCAGCAGAGTACTTACACAAATGCTGAAATATTTATTCTTAATAAACTGAAGCAGGCACTAACTGCAGGCATACAGAGAAGTGACTGATTGATTACAAATGGACTTAGCCATACATCTAAATACTTTAATGCATTAAGACCTTGATTTGGATGGTATTTTATATGAATTTATACAGAATTGGAACACCAAGAATACAGTGACTTGCTTTAACTGATGCAGTTGCACAGCAGTCACCAAACTGTGCATATTAACAGTTTCATTAAAATAGAGAAAAATATTAAATTTCTTGGGTGATTTTTTTTCATTGATTTTATTTTACTTTAATGTTTTAAGAGCTATTTAAAGTATAAAAACCTAATAGCATTTCACTGCATGCTCTATTCCACTAGAGGTCAGCCTGCAACAGAACCCCAAGCAAACACAGGAACTGCTGCACACTGGTAGCACTGACACTATTTTCTTTCTCTATTTTATCTATTAGAAAGATTTCTTCAGAGCCATAACTTAGATTTCTCACTAAAATGGAGCAACAGGAAGATATAATGATGCATTTCATTTATGAATGACCTATAATAAATTACTATAAAGTATTCCAGGTGCCAAACGAGAGAATGCTTTGTCTGCACATGCACTATATTTCACATACTTTAATTTGGCTGACACATAAAACTCATTTGACATTTTGCAGGTATTTCTTTGAAAGGATATTTGGTTCTTGTTGAGCGTTAAGGTATGGAGGTGAGGTAACTTGGGTAACAGAAGGTCATTTCCGAGTAGATTGTTGTCCAAGATCAGCTCTTCCAAGTAACTGAATGTTTTCAGTCCTTCTAGTGACCTGCAAACGACAAAGGCAACAGGAAAAATGATACTACACTAAATCAGGGAGGCCATTATGAGCTGAAATAAATATTTTAACCTTCTCTTTCAGGAGTGGGAATAGTTTTGGTTTGGGCCTGTCAGAAGAGTGAATGACAAGCATTAGTGGCAAGGGGAGTGCTGGCACTGCAACACATCCTTCACATGCTGGCAGGATGAAGGATGCGGGTCACTTAGTGAGTAGCCAGGATCCAAAACAAAAGGCTTCAGATATGGGGCCTGCAGGATGAATTTGTCAATGTCTTGTGCCTTCAGGCACCCAGCCTCGCCTGACCCTAACCTCCATTCCCAAGATAAATAACTCTGTCACAGTTCACCTTCATTCCCTGGACACAAATTTAAGTTGTCATCCATCATTTCTGCCAAGAAATATCATACCCTGCTAACAATAATAAATACAACTTCAAGTATCATTTCTTAGCAGTTACCTTACATGAAATAATAGGAAATGTATAAGGGATTTTTTCCCATTTTATTAAACACTTAATTAGCTTCTTAAGTCCCAGAAAACAAAATAAAATGTTCTACACAAAATAAAATGCAGAATTACTCCAGACAGAAAAGGAATTTGCTTTTTTTTTAGAACTTAATGTCCTGCTGTCAAGCCACAGGTCAAACTACAGAGAGCAGTTTTAAAAAGGAGCATTTGACAACATGGTAGTGCAGATGATGACTTGTAAATAAACAAGATTCTGGAGGTATTGATTCCTCTGATAGCAAAGTACAGGGAAAAAAAAAAGAAACTAAACAAGAACATTTCAGTACCTTGTTAAGGCATCTATTCCAAGCTTGATTCTTAATGCTTGCACATTTCAACAGTAAAAAAAAAAAACCACCCCACACATTAATCAACTAAGACACATGGTATACGGAGCATACACACAGACGTGCATTCACAGCTCATTCACCTACCAGACACCTAAAGATATGCTGAGATTGCATGACTTGACAGCTGATCTACTATGCCTACCAGTGGGAAGATCATCACTGTATCTCCTGGCTGTTTTTTAAAATGTGATGAATAAGGGAGATGCAGTCTATACTATTTATTCAGTTTCCAGTGACATTTATACTGAGGGGATTTCCTCATCCTCCCCTCAGTTTTTGGCAAAGATCAAAATACATCCAATGTCCCTGTTAGAGAGTTCTATGGACACTACTACTGGGAGGAAAATACATTATTATTAGAAAGTATATGAGTTTAAAATTAGACAATTTAACATTCACCTGTGCAACAGAAACAAGATACCACTTCTGTACATACAACATACTGACCACTTACAGATCATACAGGGTTCAAGCAACCAAAAGAAATCAAGTTCGTGACATTTATGCTGGGTATGTATACAAAATTGTGAATATTCAAGTAACATTTCCACAACACTGAAACAGTGTATTTCAGTTCAAAGACTCCAAATCACTCACAGTCTCTTGACTTGAAAGGGAGGTACAACTATTACTAATGTTAGTTTGTTGTAGGGCAGCCAGACCTAAAGAAAATTTGCCATGCCTGCATCCTATGGTGTATCTATGTCACTGCAATGCATTGAGACTACAATTTCTGAAGCTGAAAAAGTAAAAGGCTCTATTATAAACATTATACTGAAACAACCACCACAGTAACAGTCACACTTTTTGCACTTGACCTTAACAAGATGTTTCAGAAAAAACTCAATTCAGCCTACATAAACTGTACACCATTAAGACTCATGTTAGCATGCTGCATTGAGCTAGTTATTCAAGCAAAAGGTCACAACAGACTTGGTTTTGCCAAATTCTTGATCAGAGGAGAGATCAGCAAACATCTCAGACAGTGCTTTCTCCCAAGTACCTTTACAAGGCAAAATAACCCAGAGGAAGTAGCAGCAAGTTTATCAAGCCGCTATGAGTTTTCATTTCAGTTTGACAAACCTAGTTTAGCAAATTCCCCTTAAATACTCTTTATTATATAAATAGTGGATTACTTCCAAACCTCACATTTCAATGTATGACTTTGACTTGCCAGAGGAGTTCAGGGAAGGCCACCTCCTTGTCAACACCACAGAGCCTTATGGGATGTTAATAGGTCCTTTGTGAAAAAACATTGCTTGGGCTCTGGTCAGTGTCAGCATCAAAACACACATTGTTCTTGAGTTATGTTATGCAAATATAATACTCTTATCATGAGAATCAGCAAATGGTTGGCAACTGGCAAGGAGAAGAAAGTGCACATCCAAAACTGCTGCAGGGAAGGCATAAAACAAAATGACAAGCCATGAAGTGGGACAAAAGGCCTTGAAACACTAGAGGGAGTTGCCTATTGAAACAGTCTTTCTTTTACAAGCCTGGGCTGAACACAAGGGTACTAGTTTCATAGATAGGCAGAGAAAATTGTACGCAAATCTCCTTACACCTGTCTGGTTTTGATAATTTTTGCCATGTAATGTTATTAGCTGCTCAGTTAAAAAGGAGCCATGTTACACAGGGGGTTGCTTATAATTGTTGTTCTCATGTCATCAGAGCAGTGTGCACTTGGTGATTTAATCACCTAAATTCAGAGCCCAGGGAGATGGGAGGGGTTGCCACAGTACAGAGGGCATAGCCATTAATATAAATTTACAGCCTTATGTTATTTTGTTATTCATGAAATTATTTTTGGTTTTCATCTTAAACAGAAGAAAAAACTCATACCCATGCAAAATTGGTAAGATGGGGGAAAAAAAAGAAAACCAAAAAGGAGTTGCTATCATTCAGTGTTACTAGCTCCTAAATTCAAGGCAACAGTCTCTACCATCATAATATATAAGGAAATATTGCCCAGCAATTATACTTCAAAATTTAAAAGTTTTAAGTACAGTCCACACAAGAGGTTTTATGGTACAAATTTCTGCAACTCACATAACTTCTACGGGACTCAATTTCTCATCTGCAGATGAGGGATAAGAAAGAATTGCAACTGTGGATTAGTATATAGAAAGTATTTTTGAGAAGCTGAGACAAAAATCACTACAAAATACTATCATTTTTATTTTCAATGAGGTTAAGAGAGTAATATTAATGTACTGCAAGTATTTCCTTATGAGTCCATTAGAAAAGAGGAGAGGAATGCATACTATACATAGCATAGCAAGAAGAATACAACCTCAGAGATGACTATAAGAGAAATCTAAGAAAAAGAACCAGTCTAAAATTAAATCTGCACTGTTTTCTTATAGTTCACAGGAAAAGAAAATGTCTCCTCATATCAGTATATTAAAACAAACACCCTATCTTACTACAACAATACAACCAGCACTGAAGGGGCAGTGGCAAGTAGTTGTTTTCCCTCGTTTCAAAAGGCTAATAATCATCACTAAGGTGGATTGCAGGTTGCTTGTCCCTGCTCTAATGTCATGAAAGCTGCCCATTATCTCACCCACAGGTACCGTCTCAGTTACCTCATTGCAGGGCTCACACTCTGCTCCCAGAGGAGAGCAAGTGCTGCCAAGAGATTTCCATTGCAATTTTCAAAGTCACATCAAACCGACAAAACATCACAACGTATTCAGTGCCGCCTCATTCAAACAGAAAAAACTTTCAGTTTCCACTGTAATTAACCCTATCCTCGTTAAGATAATTATGATCAAGCTCCCTGTCACAGTTAATATCACAGCATCATTGCCTATGGCTCATGCTTTGCCCTCATTAGCTTACAAAAACACTGCACTAAACAGGAAACTGACTCCCTCTGCAAAACGACTTAAGATGTTCTATAAGCAGACAGTAAATAATCCTTTAGAATATAAAGGTCTCAGAAATGTCATTTTATCCAAGTCCTTCGGCTAATCAGTATGATTTCTTCCAGCTTTCTTTTCCATAATTCATTCATGGCTTCTAACAAAGTTTTAATCATAAAGGAATGTCATGACAGAGATTTTTTTTTCTGTGTGTATGCATGGTAATTGTCAACTACACTATTTCATGTGGTCCCTCTGGCCTGACAGGGATTTGGTTACAATGAAAGTAAAGAGCAACTCTTCAGTTTGGTAATATTTGACAATGAAAACATGAGATTTTATAAATGATAAAAAGCAGAAGCCTCTCAAGTATTAGACAAACCTTGGTACTCTGCAGTTGTCCTTGTTCAGAAGAACAAGCTGCTCAAAAGCATATGCTGAAAAAGAAGTGTTCTCCACATTTTACCCCACCCCTCTATTAATAAGACAGCTGCCTCATATCTAATTGACTTTTTCCTTCTGTTTAACAGGAAAAGAGAGAGCAGTTAACAATATGCAAATGAGAGAGTTTGGGTTTAGCCTTGAAATTGATTTGTACTTTGTTGACAAGAGATAGCCATTAGCAGAAGTTAAAGACAGAGCTGTTACAAAACAAGAGCTTTTTAAAATACCTTTTTTCCTGGCTTTAATGTTTTAACGGATTACAGGAGAGCAGAATCAACATAAGAACCCTAGCACTAGATAATTTCAGTATTTAAATAGAAATGCAAATTCTATTTCTCCAGCACCTGCCAGCCAAGAAGCACAAAGCATTTTTTTTAAAAAACATTAATGAATTACTTTTCAAAAACCTGCTGAGCTTAAAATTCCATTTTGTAGTAAAGCAGAGAGAGGTTAAGTGACCAACGAAAGGTGACCTCCAGCAATTTTCTAACAGACAAGAAATAACACCCGGAACTCCTGACTTCTAGTCCTTTGACTTAACCTCACCAAAGGAAAACAAAGAGCAATAAATAAATGTTTTATACATCTCTATATATGTGTGTGTGTCTCAAAACATCAGGCAGACACACATGTAAGTTTAGATTTTGTATAATTTCCTAGGAATGCAAAACATAATTTGAGGTTTACTTGCTTATTCCTCTTCAACTTTGAGTTCCATCTAATCTGAAATATAGCATAGAAATAAGGGGAAAACCCAAGACTTTTCCAATTATGTTGTGGTGGTGGAAGGGGTTCAGTAATTCTTCCACACAAACTCAGGCTAAGGCCTCTGTAAGAACTCTACTCCCAAACCAGCTT